AGGCCAAAGAACTCACTTCCCTCAAGTTGTCAATCTGATTGATTTTCCTTTCAGTGTGTACTGATGACAAACCTTCAAGAACATTGCTGTTGTCATAGATGCCTCAACAAGGGAAGACGTAAAAGGAGATAACAGTCTTCAGATGTGTGAGAAGTAGGTGGGAAGAGGACAGAGCAAATTCTTCCTCTCCTCCCAGGTGGACAGAGCAAGAGTTTAGGGCTTATATAGAAATAGAAGTGATTTATGTTAGGCAATAGGGAAACTGTTCTCAGTGTTGAAGCATTAGAATACATTGCTGAAGGAGGCAAGAGATCCCTAAAAATGCCCTTGGACAAACTCCACTGGTCAATTGTTTAGGGAAAGCAATATGTGTCTTAGCACAGAAGAATGGTATAAATGACCTTTCAGCTTTTTTCCAAGCACTGGTGCCCAGTGGAAGACAGACTTTATTCTTAGACTCTCCTGAGGTTCCACTACAAGTTGATGTCAAAATGGACATGACTCACTTTCATCATCTGAGATCAAATTAATTTTGCTGAGGTGCCACTACTGATGGCTGCAGCAATCAGCAGTACTGGTGGCAGTCAGAGAGCATGGCAAGAGGGCAAGGAGGTGGCTGCAAGAATGTTTACAGGCCCCCCAGCTTCTCCTTTCCTGTGGACAGACAATCTGCTCCTTCCACAGCACCTCTGCACTCTGTGTCCCACCGCCCGCACACCCAAGTGCAGGATCATGACCACTGCCCTCACTCCAGACCTTCAACCCAGCCACTCTGCCTCCCATATTGATTGTTATTGACTTCCACAGACACTGGACAAGGAATCTAGTGGAATTCATTACATCTGTGGTCTGAAAGACAGAGAAAGGTTGCTTTCTGCAGTGGACCATCTCAGCCCTCTGAGGCAGCATCGGAACTCACTCTGAGTTTTCCACTCTGCTTTACAGCTGGGGAGACCTCAGCACTTCTGAGGCTGATGGCATTGGCACAGCCCCATGGACAACATCAGCTGGCAGCCAGGCACCCTCTCCTTTCCTGAGTGCAGTGCTTTCCCACACCCGCAGCATCAATGCTAACATTTTTCCATGTTAGACTGCAGGTCGGATGTGCTCATCTTCAAGGTGTCCCGGTTCTGGCAGTGGGAGTAGCTTGGCCTGGGCTGGTGCATTGGCTCTTGTCAGATGTCTCCATGCTGTGCACTGAAGTGACATCTCATCATCACATGCAGACAGGAAGCAGCAAGCAGGCGAGAAAGAAAATACAACAGAAAGAATTTCTCTGTCTGCCAAGGGAACAGTCCATGCACAAAAATCCTGACTGCTGAAAAGGTAGAGAGCAGTGTCAGTAAATGATAGCTTTGGATTTTTAGTGCCATCTCCTTACCTGAATTTTGTTGCCCATCTATTAACTAATGACATGTAGTTGACTGAAAATGTCATGTGAATATTTTTATAGGTTTCCATTGGTTTGTTCTTCTTAAACATTATAATATTTTTACTTCTATTTATGTACCTGGGTTTAGTTATCTCTATCCCATTCAAAGTACATCATAGCTTTTTTCTGTTTTTCAACAGATATATTTTTAAAAACTAGGTACGTTAAAAATCACTCCTTTTTTACAAGTGAAATAAAAATTCTTCTCCATTTATGTTTCACCCCTGGATTTAAATTCACACATTCCTCTTTTGCTCTTAAAAAAAAAAATCCATAAATTTATTTTGTGGCAGTTGTAGTAAACTGTAGCACTTTAGAAAAGACCTTCTGTGTTTTCTTTTAACATGGATCCTGTTCCCAGTAAGATTTATGCAGAGGCTAAAAGAAAATCATGCTATTTTTTTTTTTTTGTTAAAATTTCCCTCTGATTTTAAGCACTAAAGTGTTCATAGCCTGGAAACTTCTGAAAAATGAAAATCTCATGAGTTTTATCCAATTTACAGCCTTCCAAAAAATGTTGGCATTTTTTTTAAGCAGCCACTTTTGAGAAAAAAAAATACATAAAACTCCATTTTCCTGATGAAAAAGACTTGGAAGTTATGCTTTCACATGCTTATCCAGCTCCTCAGGCACATTAGAAAATTATTCCCTTTAGAGAGAAACACTGAGGGTTTGGGACAGGAATAAGCAATCCCATTGCAGAACACACTCAATGTGCTGGGGCTCAAGATTTTTCTCTAAGGAACACTTTGTGGTGTTATGTTGCTGTCTTCTCTATCTCTACTCTCTATCTCCTGCATTTTATTTCAAGATTTATTTGGAGTGGAAGTTTTAGTCCCAAATTGATTGGTTTGGGGTATTTTTCAGTTTTGGTTGGGGGGGTTGGGGGGGGGATGTTTTATTTTTTTTTTTGGTAGTATGAGCATACTTGTCTTTCTTCTCTTTCAGTTCCAGCTGGAAGACAGAAAATGCCATTTTGTTTAACACAGAGACATTCAGACATGATGAACACCCTAAGCTGGTGTTGGCCAGGGAGTATTTCTGCAGCAGCAGCCATGCAGCACAGCAAGAATGAACTGCAAAGCAAATCAGTTTGGGTAGAGGACCTGATGTTTGTGATATGCAAATTTTTGAAAGTTTCACTTCAGACTAGCTGTTGTAGTACCATCCCTTTTTGTGGATGGAAGATCAGGAAGACCTGATCTGTAGCGTCTGGTTTAGGTTAATCCCAGCAGAACCTAGCTTGTGTTTTCCAATAGTGCTTCCCAAAGCATGCTAAACTGGGACATGCAGTTGAAAATAATTCCTGATCCAAATAGAATGACTTGTGAGGATCCATCCTGAGCTGCCCTGGGTTATACCTCAATGCAGAACTACTGGGACCACCAGAGGAGTCTGGTGGCTAGAATTTTTAGTCACTTTAAGAATTTAAGAATTTTTATTAATTTTATTCATTTAAGCCATTTAAGCCATTTTATTCATTTCAGTGTTCCTGGGAAAAAGCACTCTCTCTTCCAAACTGTGTCTCTCTTCCTAGAGTTCATTAATGCACATGTGTAGCTCTGTTAGTGGCCACTTTCTTATGTAAGAAAGATGCTCAGCAATCAATGATTTGTCTCCATCTCCAGCCTCCAGGGATACCCATGGGAAGCTGATGTAAGGTGCCCAAGTACCTTTGCAGATCTCAGACATGCACCCTTTGGCTGGTGTTAGGTGCTGGCAGGCAGTGGTTAGAGAACTAGAGATGTAACCAACCCTAAACCTGGGCTTTTCAAGACCCACGAAAAGTAAAATAAACTCCACATCTCCCACCTTCATGGTGGCAACTCTCAGTCAAGGAGCAGAGCCTTTTTAGGCACCTTTGATCCTTTGTGTGCATTTGACTGTGGTTGTATTTCATGGAGTCATCCACAACAGGAAACAAAGGTATCAGCTAGTGAAAACTGTTAGCTGACTCTGTGAAAACTGTTAGCTGAGTTTTCTAGTGAAAACTGTTAGCTGAGATTGCTACACCCACATGTGAATTAAATACAAATGCAATAAGACCAGTTTCATTCCACATGGGAAAGTCCACACAGAATGAACTAGAATTCATCTACTTTTCTCAATTTACAGGTCTGGTGAGTTTGCGCCAATGTAAACCCAACATCTCTATGAATGCATGAACACAAGCTTTCTCTTTCTCCCATCCTCTTCAGTGAGGCTGTGCTCATGCTAATTTCCTCTGCTTTCTCTGGCAGTGGGGAAATGCAGCCATTCTGCCACAAATTAAATGAATCCTTCACAGATAAGATAGTCATTGCAGCTTCCTGCATAGAGCCCAACATTTTCATCCTGTTTAATAATCAGACACTGTAAAATGGCATTTTAAATGTGTTCACAGTTCTCAAACATCTGGTGCATACTGCTGGTGTGCAGCAGAAAACTAACTTGTATTTATTTTTGAGCATTATGCCATGGACTATTTAAGAGACAATATATGAGAAAGAACATCCCAAAGAAAGGCTTATTGGTGAACTTACCTGCCACTGCCCTTTACTCATTTGTTGGAACAATATTTCCATATTTGCATAACTTGAGCTGCTCAGCAGCAAGCAAAGTCATCACTATCCTGCTATCACTAGTTTTTGTGTCATTTATCCATTTGCATGGGTGACCAATATGGGTATTACCTTTTCGTGTGTTTCAAAATTATTAGCAGAGGAGAGAAGGTTTTGTCAGAAGTGTTCAGTCTTTTTGGAACCCTTTCTATAGGTTTTGGCTAAGCAATTTGAATATTTATTTAAATTTTACAACCTCAATCTAAACATGAAAATTCTGATGATGTAGTGTTTCTGCAAAAGTAGCAGTACCATGTCGTCTCCCTTTAATAACTTGTCTCCAGCAATGGTCAGTCTCATTACAAAATATATTTTAGTTTGACAAGGTTTGTTTTCCATAAACCAATTTTGATTTGAAACAGCTTTCTTTCTATCCATAAAATCAAGCCCTAAACTCAAAATTAAACATTTTATTGTGCTTCCAAATAGTTCTGATATGCTTGTAATATCCAAGCCTCCTGCTATGGGTTTGTAAAATACTGACATGCCATTGACTTTCTTCCAGTCTTCTGAACACTGCTGGAAGTTTTCCAGTGTGCATAAAATCACCATCTTTGCTCCTTGATTAGCTGTCTTAAAAATCACAGGTGCAGGTTATCCAGACCTGCTGATTTAAAATGTTTAATATTTGTAGATGCTGTTCAACATCATCTAGATCCATGCTTGGAATGACAGTCTACAGAGGGAGCTGTGATGTAATCAGATTTCAAGTAGCACAAATTTGAACACACACTGGCCCAAAAGGCTTTACCAGAGGCAGTCTGGTTTCAAGATAAAAGGCTTAGTGGTATTTCTGGGAGCTTAGACTAGGCTGGTACACTGACCTACAGAATATATATATATATATATATATATATGTACGTGTATGTATGTGTATTTATACATCTCCAAATCTAGCTGGTCTTTCATTTTTATCAATAAGTAAGGCTTTTGCTGTAAGAGCTGAAAAAAAATCTTGTGAACACGAAATGGTTGAGTGCCTGAAGCTAAAGGAAGCCTTGGACAACTGCTTGGAGAAGCCAGTGGTATTTTTCTATCATAAAATGTGAACTATGATGATGAGGGGCGCTAATACTTATCTCAGCATGTATAATGAACTTGCTCTGGAAGAGGAAAGCCTACTTGACTTCTGTCAGAGTATTATTGAGAACTCTCTTGGCAGTACTTTCTATGAAGATAAGCCATGTATGAGTTATGTCCCCAATGTACTTGACACAAAGCCCTGTCTCCCCTGGCACATTCTCCAGTTGCCTACCAGCAAAGCAGTGACTTTGAGCAGACATAGCTGAACAATTTCAAATGCTGTGTTTTGGAGAGGGTACCTCACTTTCCTGAAATATTTTTTGATGGTGGTGTGTTTTCACCTTCTCTTCCTGCTCCTCTTGGCAGGATGTCCTAGCTCTAGCCAGGACAGTGCTAATTTTTGCAGTAGGCAGGAGGGGGCATAGGTAGGATCTGGTTATTCTGTACCATTTCACTCATTTGCTGGGGAGAGGGGATGGGGTAGCCTGGTGGAAGGAGCAGTCAATGGTTGGTGAGACCTCATGTGCAAACCATTCATTTCTTGTACAAGCTTTTATTAGTATTGTTGCTGTAACTCTTTATTTTCTTATCTCATTGCTGTTTCCAGTAAAGTTTCTTTTCTCAACCCAAAATCTTTACCTTTTGTGCCTCCAATCTGCCTTTTCATCCCACCACAGGAAGTGAGGAGAAGGGAGCGAGTGAGTAGTGCATGGTTTGGGGTGTGTCAGTGGGAACACTAAACTGGGGAGTGCCATTCCTAAATCAGGATGCAGGTGTATTTTCCTACAAGAGAATGCAGAAAATTGCACATGGCTGTCTTTGCCTCTCCAGGGGCCAGACCTCTACTTCCAACACAACATGGGAGTCGGCACATGTCCAGAACAAGATGTTTCCAGGTTTCCAGACTGAGATAAACACACTAACAATCCAGCATGTCAACACCACACACACACTCTTTTTTTATTTGTAAGCAAATACAGTGAGTTTAGTAAGTATATGGATTTAAACACTACTGTAGACAGTCAACACTTTGATGACAGCACAGTTTATGATAAGAAAAAAAAAAGATGGCTCTGGGTCACAGTTCAGGCAGTGCTAAATCTTACATACTGTTGATGCTTTTCTAGTTTAATGTGGTTTACCCATACTTAATGCTGGGCATTATGTGCTGTGTACAACCCACCCCCCCAGAATGGCTCCTTTTAATATTTGAGACAAGACATCTGACTTAGAAATTTCCCAGCATGCAGGTCTTTGGCACAGTGCTTGCCTTTGAAGTGAAAGAAAACTGCAGCTGACAGGGAATGCTTTGATGAAACAGTTTCTCATGAGAAAATGTGGGTTCATAAACATGGAAAATTTTCATGGAAACACAAGAGGCAAGAAGATAGCTTAGAGTGAGGATACATTCTGGGGTACAGGGACACTCCCACAATGGTTGAAGTGTTGGCTGGGATGGGAGGGATGAGTGTCTTTCAGGTAGTATTCTCAAGTGTATCTCAGGCAGTAGATATGCTCAGGCAGAGTCAGAGCAGTCAAGTGCTCATTCAGTGCTTGAAAATGGCTGTCAGATGGAAAGTTTTTCAGCACAGAATTGGCTTTAGGTGTTGCTGATCAGCAGTGGGTAAATTTGTGGGTCTCACAGCTGATGTCTAGTGAGGGTATTATTGAGCATTTCCCATGGGTAAGTTGTTGTCCCCATTCTGTCCAGAGAATTTTGCCATGTCATGTTTGTCACCTGCAACAAAGCAGCAATGCATTCCTTGTTTGCAAGTCATGCAATCACAGAGCATATCAAAAAGGCTGCATATTATGGAACTGAAGACCATCAACCAGAATCAGTGGAGCATAATTAAGGTGTTCATGGAAAGATCTACAAATCAAGAGCACCAAAGGTGTTGTGGAAAGCAAGGCGGGAAGAAAGGTCTTTGGATTTTGTCTTGCTCATCAAAACAAGTTTCTCCTTCAGCCAGGCTGCTGTCATACATGCTGGCTCAGCCCATGAGCTGTTTACTTGTAGCCACAGAGGTGGTTCAGCCTCAGAGGCACAGCCAGGACTGCACCAGAGCCAATGAGACTATGTGAAAGTCTAGCAGACAGCTGAATGACCTCTGTAGTTGAGTTTGGCTCTGTCCTGCCAGCCCTGGGTGCAGATGCAGCCAGCGTGTGACTGCCCTCAGCAAGCTGGCACGCCCACAGGCATCTGTGCAATGAGATCCTTCTGATAAATGCCAGAGTCACAGAAAAGTCCATCTGCGAAGCTCTCCTCCAAGCCTCTCCAATGAGAATCAAAACAGGAAGCACCCAAGGGTGCATATTTGTGGACTCTCGGTTAGAACAAGTCTTAGACTTCATAAAACAGTCATAAAGCATATTGGTAACTTTTCTCACGGTTGGCTTTTATTCACATGAGATCTCGCTGCTGAACAAACTTCAAACGGGTACTAATAAGTGTCTGTCCACATTTGAAAATCCATTGGTCACAGCAAACTCTCATTTCCTGAGACATGTCTATTCCCTGAGATGTTCCTGAGCAACATCCCTAATCTAAGCACCTTGAGTGGGCTCACAGTGAGATTTCCAGGTGGGCAGAGGGGGTGAATGCGGCTTCGTGTCCAGCCCCACCAAACTTGTCCTATATCTTAATGATGGGCTCCCGGACAAGTTTAAAAGACTGAGCAGCTTCTGGAGGTCAAAAAGTCAGTCCCCAGACTCAGGAAGAGTTGACCCTTTTGGTCTCTGGGCTGTACAATACAAGGGCAAAAGTATTGTCCTCCTGACAGCTTCCTTTCCTCTTTTATTTCCCAAGAGGATGCTTGTTTAAGAACACAGATTGTTTTCTCACCTCCCAAGACAAGGCAATTAGCTTTCTCTAGGTAAAACCTCTTTAATTGGAAGCAGTTAACGTCAATCATTGTAACACTGTGAGAAGCCACCTTGCCTTTACCTGGCATTGGGAATTCTGTCCTGTTACAGCCTGTACCAGAATGGAGTGCTCACAATCCATATAACCTCTTGCTTTACTTATTTACATTACAGAAGTGACTGAATAATTCTGAAAACATTTCAAAGATGAGGAATATTCCTTTTATTTGCTGAATTTGTGACTACACTGCTGCAATGTATCACTGTCCAAAACAGTGACACCTGAAAATACATATGTAATTTGATATATGTTCATAATAAAGTGTACTTAACTACAAAGATATATGTGTCTGAAGGTATGCTTGCTATTCAAAGAACATCTAACCCTTATTGCCACAGGCTCTAGAAATGCAGAAAATGCTCAACAGTCCAGTGACTTAATATTGATTAATAATACCTGCAATTTCTGAAATACCTTTAGCATACTTCAAAAGGGGTTGCTGCAAAGGTTCTTCCTTTGAAAATTAGGGCTCCTCTTCCATCATGCAGACTGGAATAGAGGGGAGCATGTCTAAATACTTGGCACCCTATGCCTAAAACTTACTTATTTACAGTAATCATAAATGGTATAAAAAATAATTTTATGCAATTAAAACAGGACCAAGCAAAGGAATCTAGTGTAGTGGATTTTGAAGAAGCAAGGAAAATTAATGAAAAAAAGCTGCATGTCTGTCAGGGAGCTGACGACACTCCAAATAACAGAATCCTGGCAAGCCTAGAACTCCCAAGGGGTAAGGCAATATTGATCTGGCCAAATTTCATCATATAGGAAACCTTACTGGGCTGCATGTCCTGAATGGTTACAGAGCCGATAACATTTTCTAAGAAGACTTGAGTTCTCATGTCTGGACCACAGCTCTGTGAACAAAGATTTACTGTGTTTTGGAAAGTTTTTCCCATGGAGGATGAAAGGCTTTCTGGTTGTGAAAACTTTATAGATGTCCAGTTCGGTTATGCTTAAGGCTCACATTTTTCAAATTGCATAGCAATTTTTATGCTATTATAAATTAATTTTAAGAGCAAGGCTTTTCAAGGCACTGTATCAAATGTTGTTGCTGTTTTTAATTTAAATTACCCCTACCATGTTTTTTTCAGTTGCTAATTTATCAAAAGAATTAAGAGCCAACAAAGAAAAGCTATCAGGTTTCTCAAGCGAGATTTGATCTTTATGAGAAAATGCCTGCATAAGTTTCATTCTTATTAAACACTTGTGAGCATCCAAAGATAATAAAAATTAGGCTGTCTTCCCGATTTCAAATGTGTAACTCAGGCGCTTTGAGGATGTATCACAGAGAGACTAGATCTGTGAGCTTGACATTAATCGTATTTCTCATGTCATGCTTCATGGCTGCTGTATTGCTACATTATTTGCATTATTCAGTAAGCCTCAGTCATAAAAAAATATATCTGAAAATCTGTATCGTGAAGGTTCAAGAACTGCTTCAAGACATATTGCAACCCTTAGGTACATTGAAAACTGCTGGTAATTGCAGGAAACATTTTGAACTTTTTGGTAATTTCACTTTCCCCCCACCTTTTCACTTTCCTTTGATTGAAACTCTTAATATTTTTGAGTTAATATTTTTGCATTCTGCAAAACCATCTTATGAAGTTTTCCTACCAAACTAGGTTTGCTGGAAACATACAACATATGCTGAGGAAAAGGTAAATTACAATCTGAATCCACATAAAACAGGTAGTGTCTGCAGAAGCTGTGAATGCCAGTGGGATCTTCCCCAGCACATTATGATGCTGGACATGTTTGAATCAGAAGTTCAGTGCCTTTTCCAGACAAGTGGAGAGAAAGATAACTAAGTTTCTTTAGGAATATTTCTGGAAGAATTAGATGCTGCAGAATCAAGCAGCCCCAGTCATATGACCTCTCAATTGGCAGGAAAATAAAGGAATTCAGAAGCTAACCAACTTTTCTCAGGTCCTGTGGTATGCTGGACTTGGGGCTTGCTTGCTTTGCTGACAAGACCCAGAGAGCCACAGGTCAGCCTTGAACAGCATCACATGCATCTACCAGAGCTGAAGCCCCAAGAAGCACTTTTGGGGAGAGTCCCTCCAAGCTGTT